TTTTTTTTTTTTGGGCTACTAGCTGAAAACCCATGGGTACTCGTTTACTTATCTCTTTATTTAATTCTCCGACACCCCATCTCTCTCTCTCTCTCTCTCTCTCTCTCTCTCTCTCTTTCTGGGGTATTGTTATTCAGGTCTTGCAAAGCCTGGTCCAGTGATTGAAACATTTTGTAGTGACGAGCTTTTGGCACGCCATGTAAAACTTGATGGAGTTGTTACTTTAGTCGACTCTGTGAATGCCATTAAACACTTGAATGAAGTAAAACCAAGATTTGTGGTGAATGAGGCTGTGGAACAAGTTGCTTTTGCAGACCGTATTATTTTGAACAAAGTATGTGGAATTCTGCTTATACGACTTATTCTTTCTTTTCACCTTCCTAGCTGGTGCAGAAATTCCTCGGAACAATTTTTTTGCTAACATATAGGATTTTGTACTTATGTTTTTCGGGTTGATGTTAACAGATAGATCTGGTAAGTGAGGCTGAAGTGGAGTCACTGAAAAGACGATTAAAGGTAATATTTGTTTTTCTGCGGATGAGAAAATGAAGAAAATTAAAATATGACTGTTACTTTGCAATTGGTCGATATATATCAACTACTTCCTTTACAAGAGTATTAGAAAACAGTCGTGAATATAAATGTTGTGTTCTATGCTTGAATTCTCTAAATTGCACGTGCTATTTTACTTTCTCGAAATTGGAGCTTCGATGAATTTTTCTGCTTTAAACTATGTATAGCTGTTCCACCTTATTGCCTTATATATGTTATCTGTTTAGTTCACTTCAAGTTTTTGTGTAGATTTTCTGTGAATGTAATTTATCTTACAAGCATTATCTCGGTTCTGTTTTCCAGCTCATTAATGGGATAGCACCAATTAAACTAGCTAAGTATGGGGAAGTCGATATGGACTTTGTCTTGGGGGTTGGAGGTTATGATCTTGACAGGTACATCATTCTCATTACTTGTTTTTTAAATAGACATCCATATATGGTAAATTTTTCGATTATTGAAAAATATATTCTGCGACCAAATGAAACCTTTTATTCTTTTATTATTATTATTATCATGGCCAACTAATGATTTATGTGATACATAATGCTCTTTTTTTTTTTTAGGATTGAATCTGAAGTCAAATCAGATGAATCTCATTGTTCTCATCATCAACATGAAGCTGGACATGGTAATACTACGACTTCATTCATATTCTTTATTCTGCGATTTTCAAAAACATTTTTCTCGAGTACTAATTTTTATCTAGCAAAATCTAACAAAAATATAATGGTTTTTCTGTTAATACATTTCATTTAACAAACTTTTTCTTATAACTTCCTTACAGAGCATCATCACAAAGGGCACAATCATGATCATGTGCATGATTCAGCTGTTACAAGTGTTAGTATTGTTTCCGAAGGGACTTTAGATCTCGATTATGTAAGGGCTTCTTTTAATGTGGATAAGCATCTTTTTTCTCACATTTTCTTTAAAAATAAGAATTAAAAATAATATTGATACAGTAAATGTTAAATTAAAATTTCCATTTTTTTGATTGACACAGTTTGATGATTGGCTTGAAAGATTGATAGACGAGAAAGGGGATGACCTTTACAGGATGAAAGGGATACTCTCAGTTAGCGACTCTGATCAGCGTTACGTTTTTCAGGTTTTTCACCACTTGAACAATCCATCAAAATGTCTGATTTTTGGGGGTAAAATGTAAAAACGAGATCTTGGGGGGGGTTCTTTTTTGTAATTGTTGGAAGTTGGCTAGAGTTTATTGAGACCAGGTCCAATCTCAATGGTACTTTCAACAGCTTACCAACAAAGAAGAAAGATGTTTTACTTAACGATATTTTCGAATGTTTGCAGGCTGTACACGCTATCTACGATGGGTGCCCGGGCAAGGAATGGGGGCCCGACGAGAAGAGGGTAAACAAACTCGTGTTTATCGGGAGGAACTTGGACGAAACTGCCCTTAGGAAAGGGTTTAAGGGCTGTTTGGCATGAGCAGAAAGCGCGGCAAGTCATGGACTTTTGAGTAAATTCGATCGGTCCATGTTAGAAATATGGTGCCCAATTATGTATTTT